CTTCTACTCGAAATGGAAGTAATCCCAACAATTATGAAACAAGAGATTCCTCGAAACCAAACTTTTCTTCAATTCATATCATTGTGGGAAAATTCTTCCTCTACCAGCCCTTCATCACCTTAAACGAAATTGGATGAATAAAGCCCTTTATGGTACTCACGACGAAGATCGAATACAAAAGAGAGTCAAAGCCAGCTCGTGATTGCAGTCCAGTCCAACAGAGACGGTATGAGATTGCCTTTTGGAATGACAAGAAGTGTGGCATCAAATGGCATATTAAGTTAAGCTCGTTTACTAATCGACTTTACCTCACATACATGTATATGCATGTATACATATATATGAGTACATGATAAGCAGATGATGTGTAGATGATAAGGAGACGATGAGTAAAAAATGAGTCGAGGATGAGTAGCTGAAAAATGGATGCTGAGTTGATGGTGAGTCGATGATAAGTAGATTATGAGTAGGTGATAAGCGGATGATGATTAGATTATGCGTATATGGTGAGTAGATGAAAAGTAGATGATGTGTAGATTATGAGTAGAGTATGAATACATGATAAACAGATGATGATACATTCATACATACAGACATACATGAGCACATGCTTATTTCATATACATCTCTACAGATATATATTTATCATGAAATTGACATTTATGTGTGGATTTTTGAGAGAATTAGTATATCACATATATATATAAACAAATACTCATACATGTGCTTTTTCATGATAAATATATATCTGTATAGATGTATATGAAATAAGCATGTGCTCATGTATGTCTGTATGTATGAATGTATCATCATCTGTTTATCATGTATTCATACTCTACTCATACTCTACACATCATCTACTTTTCATCATCTCACCATATACGCATAATCTAATCATCATCCGCTTATCACGTACTCATAATCTACTTATCATCGACTCACCATCAACTCAGCATCCATTTTCCAGCTACTTATCCTCGACTCATTTTCGACTCATCGTCGCCTTATCATCTACACATCATATATATACAAATACTCATACATGTGCTTTTTCATGATAAATATATATCTGTATAGATGTATATGAAATAAGCATGTGCTCATGTATGTCTGTATGTATGAATGTATCATCATCTGTTTATCATGTATTCATAATCTACTCATAATCTACACATCATCTACTTTTCATCTACTCACCATATGATGAATAGTTGATGAGTAGGTTATGAGTAGATTATGAGTAGATTATGAGTACATGATAAG